CCGCCACCCGGCCAGTCGGCCATCCGGCCAGTCCGCCATCCGGCCAGTCCGCCATCCAGCCAGTCCGCCATCCGGCCAGTCCGCCATCCGGCCAGTCCACCATCCGGCCAGTCCGCCATCCGGCCAGTCCGCCATCCGGCCAGTCCACCATCCGGCCAGTCCGCCATCCAGCCAGTCCGCCATCCAGCCAGTCCGCCATCCGGCCAGTCCGCCATCCAGCCAGTCCGTCAGCCAGTCCGCCATCCGGCCAGCCACCCATGAACAAATTGAAGATGATATAAAGTATTTAAAAAACGGGTTTGCCGCGTCAGATAGGAGCGCAGTTGTCGATCTTGCCGCGTGCGCCAATGTCCTCGCTACACCTAAACATCTAACTGCACTCCATACGTCATTACAGTCAAAACTTGTTTACAGCCAAATGTCTCTGTTTTATTCAGACAAAAGGTTTATTGCATCACTGGATGGACCTTCCAGAAGTGACCTTAGGGGTAATCAAAAGGCTGTCTGTTATCACCGGGGACGTCATGATGGTGATCAGGAAAAAGAAATGCATCTGGTAATGTCATGAATGTTGTGTAGTTGTTCCCTGGCCAACCAATATTGGTGTGCAATCAGGCACTTTAATCATTTTAAATTTTTTCAGTAAATAAATGTTTCTATTTATTGTAAAAGTTTTCCGCTTCCCTAAAAAAAAATAAAAAAATCACGAGGCCCATGACTATATAATGTCTAGTTTAATAGTGCTTCGAGCTCCACATGACATGTTGGCAAAGAGTTTTATCAACACTTCAACATCTCCTCATTTGCCTTGATTTTATTTTGATTTTTGAACATTTAAATGGATTTTTTTTTTTTTTTTTTTAAATTCATAAAAGTCGTTTTGTATATGTAATGTTGCATTCTATAAGTGCTCTGTTGTATTATTATTTTTTTTTTTTTTTTTTTTATTTTTTAAAATTTAAATGGATTTTTTTTTTTTTTTTTTTTTTAAATTCATAAAAGTCGTTTTGTATATGTAATGTTGCATTCTATAAGTGCTCTGTTGTATTCCACCGACAGCTGCTTGGTATTTGTACCGCTTTCTGTGGTGATCATGGTTCTGTCAAAGACAATGCAACAATGGCCCCCAGTGGGTCGCAACGAATACCTCCGTAACAACTCTATGTCTGAAACTATTCACCACTGGTCTGGTCAGCAAGGCTACTTTGGACCTAAGACCAACAAGGACGACGTCACCAAAACGTGCTCCCCTGCTCCAAACATCACCTTCGTAAAGACGCACAAAACCGGAAGTTCAACAGTAGCTAATATACTGATGCGCTATGGCATCGTCAACGATTTGAATTTTGCTCTTCCGAATAAAAAATGGAATTCCCCCTTCTTCAACTACATCTCCAGAGCGGGGGAAGTCATGTCCAAGGAATATGTTTATCCACTTCCGGAAGGGGAAGAGTACAACATCCTCTTCAACCACGCCATCTACAACAGGACGGCATTCCGGATGATCATGCCGGACAACGCGGTCTACATCACCATCTTAAGAGAACCGTTCCGGCAGTTTGTCTCAGCGTTCGAATACTATCGAATACATCACGATATGGTTAAAGTAGAACCTTTACTTTTAAACGCTTCAAATCCAATTTCAATATATCTGGCTAACCCAAATCGATTCTTGGCAACCACCAAATTGTTTTCTTATACCAAAAATAAACAAGCTGAAGATTTAGGTTTTGGCAAAGAAGAGTTCTTCAGTTCAGAAAGTTTTCTAAATTACTTATCCTCGATAGAAAACGATTTTAAATTAGTGATGATTCTAGAATACTTCGATGAATCTCTTCTGCTGCTGAAGCACGAGCTGTGCTGGACGGTTCGGGACATCCTCTACATTCCACTGAACGCCAACAACAAAAAAACTGTGTGGAATTTTACGGACGTAGACCACGAAAATCACCGGAGATTGAGTCATTTAGACTACGCCCTGTACGAACATTTCCTCAAAGTGTTCACACAGAAATTAAAATCTCAAGGTCCCGACTTTTTCCTGGAACTGTCCCATTTCCAGATGGTGTTGGCAAACGTTACAGAGAGCTGTGAGGTGGGGGCACGCTTGACGGTATCCGGGACAGTATGGAATAAACCATTCGTTGTTGACAGCCACGAATGTGATCTTCTGCGCATGTCAGTTATTTCCGGACTCGAGCTGTTGTATAAACGGGCTGGACGCACGATTTACTCAAGGAACGACTGGTCATTGGCTGAACTGCATGAATGGTTCAAAAAAAAAAATATTTAAAAAATGAAAGTATGCTTTAATCTGAACAGTTGATGATATAAACCATTGATCAATAACAACCCAGTTTCTCCTCCACCCCCCCCCCAACCCCCCCCCCCCCCCCCCAAAAAAAAAGAAAAAAAACAAAAAACAAAAAAACCCCACGAGTTGTGAATTATGATACACACTCTTACGGGCAGAGATTCAATCTTTCATAGCCCTGGCTATCATCGTGTCAGCTTGCCTCATCTTGTGGGCACCGTCGTAAATCATTTCTTCAAGGCAGGGCCTCTTGGGTCTCGACCTTCCGCCCCCTTCCACCACCGGGGCAGGGGCAGCCACCGAAAGACTCCCCCGGGCAAGTGAAGTGGCGACGCAAAAACCATTGGATCAAGGAGGGGGAAGACCTTCTTTCCGAACCCCAAAACTCGTGGCTATTACCAGTTGTGAATTAAAAAATTTCAAGCGATACTACAGGAACATTGGCAGCAATAGACACGCTGTAGACTGCGGTTCTTATTACGGGGTCGGGTCATCACAGCCAAGATGGCGACCGCGGGGAAATAAGTGGCGCGGATGGCCTACATTTACCTAATTCTCACCTTTTTTAAATTGGAACAAAACATTCAAATAAATTCTTAATTGAACAAGCAAGATGTCAGCTTTATTTATACTACTTAGCAGATGTGGAATTTATTACTACGCAAATATTCGACTGAAAATGGCCAAATAATGAAAGATAACTCTGTAAATAAATAAAAAAGTGGAGTTTGCCATTTGGACACCGAATGTTAAGATTGCGTGAGTTCATAGGCGATAGTCACTCGAATAGATTTTATATGAACTTCATATGAATCCCACACTAAGGATCACGACACCGATAATGACCTGTGAAGATCAGGAAGGTTATCCACAATAAAGTACACACTTCCGGTCTCCAACAATGGAACGTACGTGCGGATCTTTGAGGCTGCTAAGGCTGAGGCCTATTCAAATACGGGAAGCGTTCATAAGTTATATGACGTTATTCGCAGTCGGCTGGGAATCTGGCCGAACATTGTTTACTGCCGCTGCTAGTCTAGCAATTTAAAAAAAAAATAAAAAATTGCGGAATAAGTTGAATTATACGCTGTCCTGAACTATATTTTATTTTTTTTAACGGCTTTTATAATTATGATAGTATCGTACTATTATAATTAATGTTTAAATCTTATATTCAAAGAAGATGATTACGTCCTACAACATAGCCATGGGTTAGGTCCAGTTCTGGGTTCTGATTTGGTTTTCAAATGGTGATATGTCTATGTTGCTATGTCTGTGCTGTTGGTTTTAATGACCAGTTCAGGGAACATATTCCAACTGTACTCTTGTAATTATCATAAACATTATTTTGTACCATTTTGTGTTGTCTACCTGTGTTGTTTACTTTATTTTCTTTTTTATATGAAATTTTACTGTTTATATAGTTGACACCTGAAAACGTGCATATTTTAGTCGTACCAAAAAAAAATAAAATAAATAAAGATCAATTTTACGCTGTGAAAACTACTAGGAATTAGGGCGTGGGATCACTTTATATCAGTGGTCCCCAAATGGCGGTCCGTGGACCTTCACCGGTCCACATGTCTAACGCTTCCGGTCCCCATAACATAAATATTTATTGTCAAATAGAAATAAAAGTATAAAATAAATCATGCACCGGTCCCTGGTAAAATTTTGAAACTTGTTCACCGGTCCGCCAAGCTTAAACGCTTGGGAACCACTGCTTTATATGATCAAGGTATAGGAATAATGAAGGGAAAGTAGGCACACATGCTACTTGCTGGGCGTGAAGAATAAAACATATTCTTTTACAGTAAGTATATAATTAGTCTATAGGGCATAGGAGCGTTTAAATATTTTGCCTATCTGCATCAAATGTGATGAGATCATTCAATTTCACGAGACACTGATTTTCTATCATTTGATTCCATTGAGTGACAGTGTTCTTACTCTCAAAAACTCTTGTTAAAATTCAAAAAAATTTAAAAAATTCAAAAACTTTTCAAAAAAATTCCCGAACCAAGATACAATGATATGTGTGAAATGTCTTCATGTTTCCATCCATCCCTGTGACACTACAGTCCATTTAGGGCATTGGCCTTCCTCACCACTTCCTACCTCTCAGAACATTCAGCCATCCCTGTGGTGCTGCAGCCCTTGAAGGGTTTTGGGCCCGCCTAATCTTTTCCTTCAACTTAGACCATTCAGCAATCCCTGTGGTGCTGCAGCCCTTGTTGGGTTTGGGCCCGCCCCATCTATTCCTTCCACTTAGACCACCCACTCTTCCCGGTGGCGCTAGTTTTCCTCTGTGATTTTGGGGATGTCCCCCTCTTCACCTGGGTTAGTTTTCCTTAACTCTAACAAACTATATAAATCGCAGTGACAGCTTAAATATTACCATCCTCTCTGCTACTACATTGCAGAGTTAAGTGATAATTTTTTAAAATTGTTCTTACTATTTGATTTTTTTCGCCGAAGAAGGCTTCTTGCCGACACGTTCACTTTTGCGTCATTTTCTTCAGGTTTCCCCTTACTTTGTTTCCATTTACCTAACTTGAATGTAGTCTCTCCCCCTTATCACCTTTTAAAATATTATCAGTACTAATTGTGAGTGTTCGAGATGACTACACAAGGGTTTTGATGTCAGCAAATAATATTTGCCAAAACATTACAAAAAAAATTTAATGATATTAATGCAGTTTATTTATTTTATCATAAAAAGTACATACATATAAGCTTGGTCGAAACATACACACAAAACAAGCAAATAATGGTTCAATAAGTTTAAACTATTTTGTAACGGTACGGTAATGGTAAAATGAACAACAATACCATTAAACACATTTAGCTCTCTTAACTTAAAGGCAAATAAGCACAACCAGGTCTAGTAGAGCTTAATTACTGCCAATGCATCAAAACAATATTGACAGAAAAAAATAAATAGAGCAAAGAGGCTACTGAGCTAGTCGAAAAAAAACATTTACAAATTATTATTTGTGCTTTCAAATTTAACCGTGTTAGATAAATATATTGCTACTTAGCACATGAGTTAGCAGTCGCTAATATAAGGAAAATAAAATACGATATAAAGAATATATATACAGGAACTTTGTCTTGATGTCATGTTAATAATTTTCGAAATCTATTCAAAATATAATTTTCAAAAATACCATAAAATTATAAAAATAAACATATTCTTTCTTCCTTTCTTTGAGCTGGATGTAATCTAACGTAGAGCATGCCACAATCTTCTACGTGTTTCTTCATTGCTTGTTGAGTTGAGAACATGACACCTTTCTGGATCGACATTGTTCCTATGAAAGGCTGCGAACCGTCATGTGACCAGTTGCGCGCCGGCGACTGTCAATATAATCTCGCTCCCAACAGCAAGCTGCTGCCCCCAAGTGAAGTCGTTGAAGCGGATTGCGAAACTAACATTGTTACTTTCGGCCGAATGAATCTCATTTTGACAACGAAACATGGCCACACCACCTACTTTATATCCAAACGCGGGGGTGGGGGCAGCACGGCATGCAAAGAGCCCCCCTCCAACCACAGGTCAGCACTCTAGTGTAGCTTTAGTAAAAAGGAGGTGATGGACTGCCGATTTAATGATGACAGGCAAGAGCTGGATTGCCTATTTATATTTCGGAGGAAGCTATTTATTGAGGACGGCGAGACGTTCGCAATCAGACAGAGACGTGTATGCTGTTTTAAAAATCAATTCAACAGGAGTCCAAATGTCTCAACTTATTTGCTCCGGGGATTAGCCGCGTCGGGGACTGGCGAATCAATGCGACTGGTTTCTTTCAAGCTGTAACTACCGAACATCAAAGATAGGATCATTGCTACCTCACAACAGACATGGGATCATTGCTACCTCACGACAGACATGGGATCATTGCAACCTCACAACAGACATGGGATCATTGCTACCTCACAACAGACATGGGATCATTGCTACCTCACAGCAAACATAGGATCATTGCTACCTCACAGCAAACATAGGATCATTGCTACCTCACAGCAAACATAGGATCATTGCTACCTCACAGCAAACATAGGATCATTGCTACCTCACAACAGACATAAGATCATTGCTACCTCACAGCAAGAATGGGATCATTGCTACCTCACAACAAACATAGGATCATTGCTACCTCACAGCAAACATAGGATCATTGCTACCTCACAGCAAACATAGGATCATTGCTACCTCACAGCAAACATAGGATCATTGCTACCTCACAATAGACATAAGATCATTGCTACCTCACAGCAAACATAGGATCATTGCTACCTCACGACAAACATAGGATCATTTGCAACCTCACAACAGACATACAAAATTATTGCTACCTCACAGCAAACAATGAGTCTTTAATATCTCACAAAAGCCATAGTTTGATACTATATCATAAAATCCAATTCGTATTGGAACTTGGACTCATTGGGCCATAGCGTAACAATGTTGGTTTGGCAATCTGCTTCAGTCACTTAACTTTGGGAAACAGATATCCTGCTCATCTAAAATCACAAATGATTTAACAGACCTGTACTGCCAACAATGCAAGCATTATCAGTACAACATTTTTAAAAAAATGTGTTTCATGTGTGTGTTTTTGCACATGATGCATATGTGCACATTTGATGGTGCATGTGTTATGTGTGTCGATATATAATATGGGTGTCTTTGTATGTTAAGTCATATCCTCACCAACCTTTTTCTTTTCTTTTATTCTTCTTCTTTTTTTTTTTACATTTGTTGCTCCCCCCTCCCTAACACAGTAGTCGGTCTTAAGCTACGTGAGCCACCTCTGTCCATACAGCACCATTGCGTAGAAGTACACGCTGAGCCAAGAAACCATTGGTTGCTATTTTGTTCCGATGAAGTACACTCTATGATAATCTCAAATCCATCATTGTACACTCAAAACGGCCACGTCTGTGCTAAAGGGAACACACACACACACACACACACACACACACACACACACACACACACACGCACACACAAGGTGGGGGGGGGGGGGAGTATCTAGCCATCTCCAAAGATGATTTAAGCTCGACAGTTTCATTCGATCATGTCCGAAGTGAAGGATGCCACACTATACAAACATCACGGGATGGGACGGCAGCCCTCGTGCAGATTAATTCAAATGTTCATCATCAGTATAGTTGAGACTTAGACTTGTGTTGAGACTTAGACTTGTGTTGAGACTTAGACTTGTGTTGAGACTTAGACTTGTGTTGAGACTTAGACTTGTGTTGAGACTTAGACTTGTGTTGAGACTTAGACTTGTGTTGAGACTTAGACTTGTGTTGAGACTTAGACTTGTGTTGAGACTTAGACTTGTGTTGAGACTTAGACTTGTGTTGAGACTTAGACTTGTGTTGAGACTTAGACTTGTGTTGAGACTTAGACTTGTGTTGAGACTTAGACTTGTGTTGAGACTTAGACTTGTGTTGAGACTTAGACTTGTGTTGAGACTTAGACTTGTGTTGAGACTTAGACTTGTGTTGAGACTTAGACTTGTGTTGAGACTTAGACTTGTGTTGAGACTTAGACTTGTGTTGAGACTTAGACTTGTGTTGAGACTTAGACTTGTGTTGAGACTTAGACTTGTGTTGAGACTTAGACTTGTGTTGAGACTTAGACTTGTGTTGAGACTTAGACTTGTGTTGAGACTTAGACTTGTGTTGAGACTTAGACTTGTGTTGAGACTTAGACTTGTGTTGAGACTTAGACTTGTGTTGAGACTTAGACTTGTGTTGAGACTTAGACTTGTGTTGAGACNCCCCCACTCCCCCCCCCCCCCAATTTAAAAAAAACAAACTTCTTCATCACAGTTTAGCTACATAATTCCAACGCACAAACATTTAGTACTAGCACTAACACAGACAAAGGAACTACTTAAAATGGAAGGAGATTTACTTCATTAACTTGGTAGCCAGTCATCAGTATGATAGTAGATATATAGAGTTTAAAAAAAAAAAAAATGAAAGAGATTATTGCTTACTGCTAAGGTTTGTAAGTGTTCAGAGAAAGAAAATGGTTGACAAATGAATAGTTGTATTGTGGTGTTTCCGTTTGAGTAAATTGCCATCAGTCACGAATATCATTGCGAGCAAATCGTTAGGGTGGAACTGGATTGTGTTGTGTAAATATTGGATCTCTTCTCATTATTACATAACCTTAACGGCCTACGATCAATTTATCGATCACTTTAGCTCCTATCAAATCATCTGGTTCATTGAACTGGTTTGTGTGTAACTGATAAAGAATAAACTGTTGATGATCCTAATAAATAAATGTGACTGATGCTAAACAGATAGGGGTTTCAAGATATAAATGTTTAGAGTCTTTCCCAAAGAACCAAATAATCTAACCAGCGGCGTCGGCAAGGTGTGGCTAAATGTTGCAGGGGTCGGGGGTGGGGGTGGGGTGGCGCCCTGTCTCCGATCCTGGTTAGATTGTTTTCTTTCATCAAATTCCTGTACACGCTCAGACGTGTAAGAACGCGAAACTGAACACAAGTCTTTTTTTATATATTTTTTTTTGTTAGTAGCAATGTCAACTTTAATCCAGAAACGAATGATTCAAGCTCTTAACTATGTATCAGACACACGTATTGCGCAGGTCGCTCAAGGAAGAAGAATATACCTTGATATATTTATATATATAAATTAATGGGTCGGTTTTTATAAGCCCAAAATCAACCTACTTGAGTCGAGCTAAAAAATAAGAAACATGATTTTTGAAATAACTCGAATTGAATTTTTTTTTTTAAAAAAAGGGGGGGGGGGCTGCTGCAACATCCTCGGTACGGCTCAAAACACAACGCCTCAGAGTGTGACTGCACTCCGCCTCAGAGTGTGACTGCACTCCGCCTCAGAGTGTGACTGCACTCCGCCTCAGAGTGTGACTGCACTCCGCCTCAGAGTGTGACTGCACTCCGCCTCAGAGTGTGACTGCACTCCGCGCGGGACTATTTTTTTTTTTATATCTATGGGAAATCCAACAGCAACATTTCTCTTTATTCAGATGATGCTTCATTACATCAATTGACGGACCTGCCAGCCGTGACCTCAAAGTCATCAAGAGACTATCTGTTGCCAGAGGGTCCGTCATGAGGATGACCAGGACACAGAAATGTATCTGGTAATGTCATGAATGTTGTGCAGTTGCTTCCAAGCTAACCAATATTGGTGTGAAAACAGGCGCTCGAAAAAAAAAACATACAGAAAATATTGTATTTTATCCTGTGTTAGTTCAGAGAGAAATGCGTAGAGTGATCATTGTACAGTTTCCATCGTGCCTTAAAATGCATACTTCCGACGCGAATGACTATACAAATTCTAGTTTAATATCCCATCGACCTGCCCATGAGATGCTAACAGAAGACTTTGTCAAGGCTTAATCGACACCAACGGCAGCGGTGGGCTCGACTCACTATAGTTGGATTGTTGTCGATATTTTACAATTTTAACTGGAAAATTTGAAGGAAAAAAATCTTAAAAGTCGTTTTGTATATGTAATGTTGCATTCTAACAGTGTTCTGTTGTATTCTAACAGTGTACTGTTGCATTCTAACTGTGTTCTGTTGCATTCTAACAGTGTTCTGTTGTACTCTAACTGTGTTCTGTTGTATTCTAACAGTGTTCTGTTGTATTCTAACTGTGTTCTGTTGCATTCTAACTGTGTTCTGTTGCATTCTAACAGTGTTCTGTTGTATTCTAATTGTGTTCTGTTGTATTCTAACTGTGTTCTGTTGTATTCTAACTGTGCTCTGTTGTATTCTAAATGTGTTCTGTTGTATTTCATCGACAGCTGCTTAGTGGTTGTACCGCTTTCTGTGGTGATCCTGGTGCTGTCACATGCATTGCAGGATGGGTTCTCCCCAAAAGGTTATCAGGATTACCGCCATGACAACTCTATGTCTGAAACTATTCACCACTGGTCTGGTCAGCAAGGCTACTTTGGACCTAAGACCAACAAGGACAACGTCACCAAAACGTGCTCCCCTGCTCAAAACATCACCTTCGTAAAGACGCACAAAACCGGAAGTTCAACAGTAGCTAATATACTGATGCGCTATGGCATCGTCAACGATTTGAATTTTGCTCTTCCGAATAAAAAATGGAATTCACCCGGCTTCAACATTATCTCCAGGGCTGGGGAAGTCCTGACGAAGAAATATATTTACCCTCTTCCGGAAGGTGAAGAGTACAACATCCTCTTCAACCACGCCATCTACAACAGGACGGCATTCCGAATGATCATGCCGGAAAACGCGGTCTACATCACCATCTTAAGAGAACCGTTCCGGCAGTTTGTCTCATCGTTCGAATACTATCGAATAGATCGCGGCATGGTTCAAGTAGAGCCTTCACTTATAAACGCTTCAAATCTAATATCAACCTATCTGGCAAGTCCAAATCTTTTCTTGGGAAAAACAACATTGTTTTCTTATACGAAAAATAAAGAAGCTGAAGATTTGGGTTTTGGCAAAGAGCAGTTTTTCAATTCAGAAAGTTTTCTAAATTACTTATCCTCGATAGAAAATGATTTTAAATTAGTGATGATTCTAGAATACTTCGATGAATCTCTTCTGCTGCTGAAGCACGAGCTGTGCTGGACGATTCGGGACATCCTCTACATTCCACTGAACGCCAACAACAAAAAAACGGTGTGGAATTTTACGGAAGTAGACCACGAAAATCACCGGAGATTGAGTCATTTAGACTACGCCCTGTATGAACATTTCCTCAAAGTGTTCACACAGAAATTAAAATCTCAAGGTCCCGACTTTTTCCTGGAACTGTCCCATTTCCAGATGGTGTTGGCAAACGTTACAGAGAGCTGTGAGGCGGGGGCACGCTTGACGGTATCCGGGACAGTATGGAATAAACCATTCGTTGTTGACAGCCACGAATGTGATCTTCTGCGCATGTCAGTTATTTCCGGACTCGAGCTGTTGTATAAACGAGCCGGGCGAACGGACAATTCAAGGAACGAGTCGGTCATTGTATGATGAACGGACATTGTTGCAGGGGGGGGGGGATAAAAATATAATTACTTTAATATGAAATACATCATAATAAACTAAATAACAGTTAAAAAAAAATACGAGACGTGAATAAAAAAATAAATGCTACAAAATCCTACAATCCTCTCTGTATGTGTGCATCAGCTTGTAGTCCTTTTAAGACAGGATCGTAAAAGTGGTGTAGCTTTTTTATTTTTAAAGGGATGCAACGAACGTGTGGACGCCATTTGTTGTGTTAACTCGGAATTAAATTTTTTAAGAGACGGCCTTCGGGGTAGTAGGGCTTTGGGTAGAGAGAAGTCCCGGGGATAGTGTGGCGCTCTCAGGGTAGTAGGGCTTTGGGTAGAGAGAAGTCCCGGGGATAGTTTGGCGCTCTCAGGGTAGTGAGGCTTTGGGTAGAGAGAAGTCCCGGGGATGGTGTGTCGCTCTCAGGGTAGTGAGGCTTTGGGTAGAGAGAAGTCCCGGGGATAGTGATGCGCTCTCAGGGTAGTGAGGCTTTGGGTAGAGAGAAGTCCCGGGGATAGTGATGCGCTCTCAGGGTAGTGAGGCTTTGGGTAGAGAGAAGTCCCGGGGATAGTGATGCGCTCTCAGGGTAGGGAGACACTGGGGGAAGGGGGGGGGAGTGGGGCCCTTGGAAAACTGGGACTCTGGTTTTCGGGGGGATTTTATTTCGTCCAATCAGTGGCATCTCATTTATTTCGTCCAATCAGTGGCATCTCATTTATTTCGTCCAATCAGTGGCATCTCATTTATTTCGTCCAATCAGTGGCATCTCATTTATTTCGTCCAATCAGTGGCATCTCATTTATTTCGTCCAATCAGTGGCATCTCATTTATTTCGTCCAATCAGTGGCATCTCATTTATTTCGTCCAATCAGTGGCATCTCATTTATTTCGTCCAATCAGTGGCATCTCATTTATTTCGTCCAATCAGTGGCATCTCATTTATTTCGTCCAATCAGTGGCATCTCATTTATTTCGTCCAATCAGTGGCATCTCATTTATTTCGTCCAATCAGTGGCATCTCATTTATTTCGTCCAATCAGTGGCATCTCATTTATTTCGTCCAATCAGTGGCATCTCATTTATTTCGTCCAATCAGTGGCATCTCATTTATTTCGTCCAATCAGTGGCATCTCATTTATTTCGTCCAATCAGTGGCATCTCATTTATTTCGTCCAATCAGTGGCATCTCATTTATTTCGTCCAATCAGTGGCATCTCATTTATTTCGTCCAATCAGTGGCATCTCATTTATTTCGTCCAATCAGTGGCATCTCATTTATTTCGTCCAATCAGTGGCATCTCATTTATTTCGTCCAATCAGTGGCATCTCATTTATTTCGTCCAATCAGTGGCATCTCATTTATTTCGTCCAATCAGTGGCATCTCATTTATTTCGTCCAATCAGTGGCATCTCATTTATTTCGTCCAATCAGTGGCATCTCATTTATTTCGTCCAATCAGTGGCATCTCATTTATTTCGTCCAATCAGTGGCATCTCATTTATTTCGTCCAATCAGTGGCATCTCATTTATTTCGTCCAATCAGTGGCATCTCATTTATTTCGTCCAATCAGTGGCATCTCATTTATTTCGTCCAATCAGTGGCATCTCATTTATTTCGTCCAATCAGTGGCATCTCATTTATTTCGTCCAATCAGTGGCATCTCATTTNCTGACAATTTGATAGACTTGGAGGTTAGGGACTGGGGCTGACAATTTGATAGACTTGGAGGTTAGGGACTGGGGCTGACAATTTGATAGACTTGGAGGTTAGGGACTGGGGCTGACAATTTGATAGACTTGGAGGTTAGGGACTGGGGCTGACAATTTGATAGAATGTGTTGTCATCGGCCACGAGTCTATGTGACAACTTTCAGTTTAAACGGAAGTGGGTCCATTTGCCAACCGAATATTTTGCCACACACCCAGACGGAAAGAAGAAACTTAGGGACAAAAGCTAAGTAAATATACATGATTTAAAAAAAAAGAAAACCTTAGCAGAAGGTCAAAGAAAGAGAAATTCAAATGTAGCCACATCTTACATTATCTCGAATGATATCAGTTGGTTTGCACAAGGGGGGGGGCTGTCTATACAAGGGGCGCCTATACAAGGGGCGTCTATACAAGGGGAGTCTACAAAAGGGACGTCTACACAAGGGGCGTCTAAACAAGAGGCGTCTATACAAGAGGCGTCTACACAAGGGGCGTCTATACAAGGGGAGTCTATACAAAGGGGAAAGGAAGAAATGTCTTCCAAACTGAGTTTGGTGGGGTGGGGTGGGCGGGGGAATAACCCCCCCCCCCCCGCCCTCCTCTGGAATTTATCCATGAAACAAAAGGAACATGGGAACGATAATAGTACGATAAAATCTATATCATCTGTCAGGTTTAGAAGGAAAAAAAAAGGGGTGGGGATGGGGGATGGGGAGGGGGAAACAACCTTCTAGCACGAACGCGGTGTTTTGAACGCATAGCCGCGAATTCTAAGAATAAAACCTAAATAAAAGTTATGGCCGACCAAAATTGAGTTTTTGAATCAAAGGAGTGCGATACTTCTATTCCTGGATAATGGGAAATAGTTTGTTGTTTAAATCAATATTATTATCGAATTGTCAACAATTCTCTAAAAAAAAAATTTAACAGTACATTTTTTAACACCAGTACCATGACATAGATTGCACACAGTACGTAGTGGACCAAGTCCATGTTCTATATGTCACGTGGGTTGGCCTCCACCACTCAGGGGGGAGGGGTTGGTAGACGCCTCTGTTTCGCACTGAATTCATTCAACGTGTGAGCATCGATTGGTGAATAACGTGCATCTAGGATTTGTCAGATGCAGGCGAATAAGCGAATAACTTATTAGTATTATTTAAAATTAAGTAAATGAACTATCACAATTTTAATATTTTTTGATGGATCTATTTATCTTGAATGCTATGCTACATTTGTTAAAATCATTTTATAAATGGTTGCTGCTGGCAATAGAGAAGCGTCTATTGGTCCACATTTGATAACATGTATAATACTCTTATTCAAATAAGGTATGAAGCACATGATGCTCAAATTGGTATTTGGTATTATTAAAGAAGTCGTCATTGGGCCATGACTCTTACCTTGCAGATCAATGGCTCTCAACCTTCCTAATGCCGCGACCGTGTAGTACAGTTCCTCATGTTGCAGTGACACCAAACATAACATTATTTTCATTACTACTTCATAAATATGTGTTTTTCGATGGTCTTGGGCGACCCCTGTCGTTCGACCCCCCCAAACGGGTCGCGACCCACAGGTTGAGAACCGCTGTTGTAAATGATGTGGCCACGCGTGTGACGATCAAAAATGGGGACATGACAGATCACGAGTGTGTATTTTACAGCTTTCTTCTAGCCATGTATCAGTTCTAGAGGTGCCCCTTGAGTCAGTTATTGAGTCGCCAAGTCATTCAATCTTTGTTAGGCCAATGGTGCGCTCAGGCAAATTAGAAGAAATTATGTCATTATATTACAGTCTGTTTCCCCATCGTTAAGTAAAATCGATTCAATTTTGAAAACGAGAAGAAATCCTGCAGGGGATTAACACTGACGTTATCACGACAGTGTGCACTTAGAGAATAAACGCAAACTTACTGAACACTTAAGAGTGCGCGAAACCAACAGCTGTTATGTACAAACACTGCGTACTCAATACATTCGAGAAGCTACCATTTCGATCGGGAAAAAAATTGGCTTGTTCTAGAGCAGCATTTAGGATTCGCATGTGAATTCTTTTGCCAACAGTTTTTACAAATTGATTTACAACGTGGGAAAAAAAACAACAACAAACCAATGTGCTCTAAAAAATTAGTGTGAAATTGGTGGGTGGAGATGTGGAGGTGAAAATAGCCTCGAACACTAGACATGAAAAACATGAACCCCCAAATCCCCCCCCCCAAAAAAAAAAAATTTAAAAATTTAAAAAATCCTATTTAATACAAGTGAAATTCATTTCCACTAAACCAGTGGTTCTTAACCTGGGTTCGATCGAACCCCAGTGTTTCGGTGTGTCAGTTCCAGGGGTTCGTCGGAGGTCCAAAAAAAAATCAGAAAAAAAATCATATTTTATTTTTCCTATTAAGAAGGGTTCAGTGAATGCGCATATGAAACTGCTGGGGGTTAGGTACCTCCAAATAGGTTAAGAACCACTGCACTAAACCAACTAGCGCAACCAACTAATAATTCTTTCTCTGAATTGCTGATGACAACACGAGGCTGGTGGTAAGAACTCAGTGACCTTGACCGACAACTGATAAATTCACCAACATTTCTGAAAAATTTAAGTTAACACATCGGGAATTCCAAATGTTGCTATTTTTCGTTCTATAGCCATAGTTTGCGAATAATACCAGATTGGGTCATCTTCGTAATTGCTGGTCTATTTCGTGCAGCTGCGTAGCTTTTGTATCAGCTGAATTACAGACATTTCCTTCTGGACCTCATTAAGGTGCGTGCTAAAAGATTTTACTCTTTTGACTAACAACACTGTGCATATTTTACGCCCCGTTTGCTACCTGTTTACCGCTATAAAAAAACCCGTGTTCTTTTCTTAATATAAATCATCGATGATAAATCAAATAATCGTAATTGGCCTAAGTTTTAATAAAAAATATATTCTAACTTTCGTCATCACTTCTTTGATATATTTTATTTTTAAATTGTCCATTATCATGCCTGAACAATGTTTGAAAAAAAAAAAAATAGCCTTCTCTCCTGAGGCAGCCCATCGGCAAGCTGGCGTGTAGGCAAAGTAAAATAAATATTATGAACCGTTCGAGCACGTATGATGAATTCGATTAAGACTCTGGATTCGACTTTCCGCAAGAAAACTGCTCGTTCGCTTGGCAAAAGAATTCCATAAACGATAATATCAATGGATGCACTTTTTAATTGTTTACACTGAATTAAACTGTACAGTTAAAAACAAAAAATAACATGAGAAATTAAACGAGTGTGTTTCTTAGATTTCTTAACAGCAAAGAGAAGAGGTGTGCTGGACCCTGTCTGGTCCAGAGACGTAAGTGAGCGGGGCATTGGGGACAGATGTACCTGGCCGCCAGGGTAGTCAGGGGCGCCCCAAATGTGCTTTGATATTATTTTATTGATGAAAATAATGGGTCTGAGAGTTGGAAAAAAATAGAAAGGGAGGCGCTTGAAAATGAATCCGGTCCCCGGGCGCCCAACACGCTAGCTACGCCTCTGATCTGGTCCAGTTCAGGTGAAACGGATAAGATGTGGACTATTCTTAAAAATATATAAAAAAACTTGTTAAAATGTCATAATGATCAACAACAACAAGAAAAATGCAAACAATTGATGAAATTTCCCAAGTTCCAACGTCCAAGTATGGCGCTCACGTTGTTGCTGGATAGGAAGCAGTAAGCACACCGCGGGCAAAAAAGGGGGGGGGGGGACATGACACACACTGTGATCCTTTCTCATTCTATTTCAGCGATAAGCGGTTAGGATGGCAACGCCGAGACGCGACATCAAACTCATCATCGTTGGCAAAACTGGAGTGGGGAAAAGCGCAACGGGGAACACGGTTCTGGGGAGGTATCACTTTAAAAGTTCCCCTTGCGCAGGTAACGCATCGGTTACAAACACATTTGAAAAGGCTTCGACATGTAACAGAGGTCGCATAATTACGGTTGTGGATTGCCCGGGTATTAAAGACACTGATCTCAACGAAGAAGATGGTTCTGTTTTAACCGACGATGCCAAAAAACAAATTTTCGCAGATGCGCCTGAAGGCTTTGATGCTTTTCTTTTGGTTTTTCTTTTTAGCGTGCGATACACCAAGGAATATGTACAAACAGTTGCTCATCTGAAGCAACAGTTTGGGGGAGAATTTTTCAGATTCTGTATTCTCGCGTTCACTCACGGAGACGCCTACGACGCTACTGAGACGGAGTACGAATCATTTCCGGGTTGGATCAACACACAAGAAGGTTCTTTCAAAACGTTGGTGGAGGCATGCGGCAAGAGGTGTGTCCTGTTTGATAACAAAACCAAAGACGAGACGAAGAGAACGTCCCAGGTGGATCAGTTGATTAAATTGATTGACCAACGCAGTGCCCTTGGGCTGAGGTACACGGGTGACCATCTCAAGATGGCTGAATTTGTACGTGCGAGAAATAGGGTTGAAGCCAAGCGCCATTTGATCAAGGCCGAAAGCGAGGAAGAGAACGGTCTGATCAAGCAGCATCTTGACACTGTTAAGTCGAGCGAACCGAAGAAACAGTTGCAGCTGCTGGCAGGACTGAAGAGAAGGGGAGAAACGTTGTGCCATCGTATCAAAGAACTCGATGATGGCACCGGTGTCTTGAAAGTAGAGACCGACCGAATTTCGGCTTCGGCTTCGGTTTCGGCGCCGAAAGTGGCAATTTTATCCCTTTCGGCCAAGTTTCGGTTTCGGCCGAAACTGAAAAGTTAACTTTCGGCTTAATTTCGGTTTCGGCCGAAACTGAAAAGTTAACTTTCGGTTTTTCTTCGGAGGCGCCGAAAGTGGCAATTTTATCCCTTTCGGCCAAGTTTCGGTTTCGGCCGAAACTGAAAAGTTAACTTTCGGCTTAATTTCGGTTTCGGCCGAAACTGAAAAGTTAACTTTCGGTTTTTCTTCGGTTTCGGCCGAAATTGACTTAGACTTTCGGCCATCCGGCCGAAAGTGACTCAGGTTTTCGGTCATTTAATACTCAGCGAAAGCGATATTTAACAACAAACTAAGCGACATTTATGAACAAATTAAACAATATTTAACAACAATCTAAAGGACATTGAAGAAAGCGATCTTTAAAACAAACTAAGCGAACTTTAATAACAAAATAAAAGATCTTTAATAACAAACTAAACGATCTAATAGAACAAACTAAACGATTTTTAAGACCGAACTAAAAGATCTTTAAGAACAAAACAAATGATCTTTAATAGTAAACTAAATGATTTATAAGAATAAACTAAGCTATCTTTAACAGAAAACTAAATGTTCTTTAGGAACAAACTAAAAGATCTTTAAGAACAAATTAATCGATCTTAAGGAACACAATCAATTATCTTTAAGAACAAACTAAGCGATCTTTATGAAAAAACAAAGAGATCTTTACATCAAACTAAGCGATCTTTATGAACAAACTAAGCGATCTTTAAGAAAAAACTAAGCGATCTTTATGAACAAACTAAGCGATCTTTAAGAAAAAATAAAGCGATCATTAACAAAACTGGACGATCTTTAACAGCAAACTAAGCGATCTTTAAGAACAAACTTACCGATCTTTAACAACAAACTAAACGATCTTTAACAACAAACTGAATGATCTTTAACAACAAACTAAACGATCTTAACAACAAACTTAACGATCTTTAACAACAAACTAAACGATCTTTAACAACAAACTAACCGATCAATAACAACTAACTAAACGATCTTTAAAAACAAATTAAGCGATCTTTTAGAACCACATTTTTTAGAGATCCTGTTTAAAAAAGTAATATTTTGCATTAATTTCCCCGCCCCCCCCCCCCCCCCCCCAACCCTTTTGTCAAATTTTTTCCTACCATACGAATTTTTTAAAAAATGGTGAAGCCATTTAAATTACTTTTATATTAAAATGGTAAAATCCAAAGTATTCATTAGATCAAGGGTCTCAAACTCAAATCGTCAGGGGGGGGGGCACAGGAGGTAGTGTCTGAATGAGACTGGGCCGTATCAAGTAATCCACAAAAAAGCGATTACAACTGTTAAATCTGCTCAACCTTTATGAGTAACAGTAAAATCATTAAGCGTTCTCAAGAACTTCTCACTGTTGCCAGAGACCTGGCATACAAAAATAGTTAGAAACATAAAAAAAAAAATCAGAATTAGACTAGTCAGTGAGATTCGACTGAAACCGTTGCGGAGAGTCACGTTATAGATATGAGAATGGGGGACAAGGGCCCGGAGCATTTACACTCAACGTTTCTGTCATGTAGCGGGCCGTAAATATCGTCTTGCGGGTCACAAATGGCTTGCGGGCCGCGAGTTTGAGACCCCTATATTAGATGTTTATTTATGTTGTCTTATTTTTTATAAAAAGAATGTAAATATGTATACTTTCCCACATCATTTTCGATGTATGCAGAATGTATGCGGGAACGAATTTCAAAATATCTTAATATTTCATTTTCGGTTTCGGCTTCGGTTTCGGCCGAAATTCATTTGTAACTTTCGGCCTTTTTTCGGTTTCGGCCGAGAGTCATTTTTAAACTTTCGGCCTTTTTTCGGTTTCGGCCGAAAGTCATTTTAAACTTTCGGCCTATTTTCGGCTTCGGCCGAAATCAGAAAATCACTTTCGGTCGGTCTCTACACGGTTTCGGCCGAGAGTCATTTTTAAACTTTCGGCCTTTTTTCGGTTTCGGCCGAAAGTCATTTTAAACTTTCGGCCTATTTTCGGCTTCGGCCGAAATCAGAAAATCACTTTCGGTCGGTCTCTACTTGAAAGGCATATCAGAAAATATTGATGCTGTCAGCTGTGTTAAAAATCAAATGAAAGCTGTGGCTGATAACTTAAAGAAGCAGGCGATGCGAAACGCACAGAAACAGGAGATGAAGAAACCTTGGACCGGGGCTGAACGACGCCGTCTCGAGTCGTGGTTGGCAACCGTTGTGATATTTTTAATTATTGAATTACTCTACAAAGAAACATCAAATAAAAAGAAATACTTTGAAAAGTACGAAAATAATCTGCAGTCAAATGTCTATCTTGCGCCACAAACATATGTGTTGAACAATAGTATTCTTAAGATCTATAAATTCTAATTTCCAGAGCTTCCTAAACTGATTTCTTGAAAAGAGTTGCCCATATAATTTTTTTCCATTACATAGGAAACATATTTCTGAGTGTGAAAAAAGAGAACCTTTGTAGGTTATTTGGTGCCGCTCTTGGAGACCAAGAAAGACTTTGGGTTCTTCACATGACATGCAGACTTTGTTACGGAGTATTTGTTGTTGATCATCCAGATCAAAGAAAAGAATGTCCTTCAGCCTTGAACACGTATGTCATTACAGAAGAGAAAGCGATCTTCTGCCGCTTTTTACCTGAGGCAAGAACTTATTATTACGCAATGACATCAGAAGCCTTCTTTCGAGCATTGATATTTCAGAATAGAACCTTAATGTGTGGTGTCTTTATTTGGACATGGATGGAAATAATTTTAAAAAAAATTCTTTTAGCGTCCGCCTGTCATAATATGAAGATGGTGTAAGGTTTGCAGGATGACATCCCACAGGATTTGTTTTCTTTAGTAGGATAATCTGGTATCCTAAGCAGTAAATTGCCTCTCTCACAGCCTCTGGAAAACCCAAAAAAGGAACATCATTTATCGCAGGAGTTGTCGAACATTTTGATTGCGTCAATTTTATGGGACCCCTCCAATCTCCGGTTTTGAAATCAGAGTTTTCTTTCTCTTAGATGAGTTGCCATCCAAGGTTTGCAAGTTCCATCCCAGCTTTGGCTTCGACTCAGTTTAGGGATCGCTCCGCCACCTAGCATCCTTGAATTCAAATGTGTTCTTTTAATAAAGGGCAAACAAGTATGATTCTAATTCAATCGGTCAACAACCCAGGCCATCTCGTTGGGCTTTGAAAAAAAAATCAATTACAAAAACGACAACAACAATATGGTTGTGCGATTTGTGTAGACTTGACAATGATTGTGTTATCCCCGTTTTTTTTTTTTTTTTTTTATAAAGTAGCCAGACTAAGTGTCTTTTCTTAGGCAAACAATTATTATTCTAATTCATTCGGTCAACAACCCAGGTTATTTCGTTGGGATTTAAAAAAAAAATCAATTACAAAAACGACAACAACAATATGGTTGTGCGATTTGTGTAGACTTGACAATGATTGTGTTATCCCCGTTTTTTTTTTTTTTTTTTACAAAGTAGCCAGACGAAGTGTCATTGCTTCTCACGTCTTTTCAAATTGTTGAGCTAAAAACGAAAATATGTCAAGGGAAAAACAAAATGGGTTTCAGGGTGAAATGGGGCGATCGGAGAATTTTTTTTTTATTAATGAAGATTTAGCAACACGAGATGGAATCCATACGGGAATTCCACTGCACGTATTTTTAAATCTAGGCCTGGCTGAAAAAAACGATTTGTGAATGCTATGACAATAGAATTCCATGCACATCGAAATTGGACTTACCACAGAGAAACTGAATTCTGGGTATTTCTTTTGATGATGGACTGGATCGGAAAACTTTACTGCTCTCAGATTGCTACTAAGAGTCAGTCAGCGAAGAGTGAAGTTAAATATAACATCATGACAAATGCATGCAATGGCAGCCAGCTACAAAGAAAGATGAAATGCACACACGATGAAGACTTTGGTTGGAATCTTATTCGGGCCAGCATTAAAAGATCCTACCCTAAGGAGCTGAAACAGAATGAGCTTCATTTTTGTAGATCTACAAAACAAGGTCCCCATTAGAGATACGTTTTTGGCTATAAAATTTGCACGCTTCATATAGCACACTTATCTTTGAAGATTTATTACTTTGTTGCTTTATGAGTGATTTTTTTATCCTAATATTTCAAAAACTAGCGCTACTAACGGAAAACGGGTCAATCAGATGCAATGAGCAAGTGGTTTTAAACTGGCCTGCTAGTCAGTCAGATGCAGTGTGCAAGTGCTTTTAAATTGGCCTACTTGTCAGTCACATGCAATGTGCAAGTGCTCTTAAATTAGCCTGCTAGTCCGTCAGATGAAATGTGCAACTGTTCTTAAATTAGCCTGCTAGTCCGTCAGATGAAATGTGCAACTGTTTTTAAATTAGCCTGCTAGTCAGTCAGATGCAATGTGCAAGTGCTTTTAAATTGGCCTGCTAGTCAGTCAGATGAAATGTGCAACTGTTCTTAAATTAGCCTGCTAGTCAGTCAGATGCAATGTGCAAGTGCTTTTAAATTAGCCTGCTAGTCCGTCAGATGAAATGTGCAACTGTTCTTAAATTAGCCTGCTAGTCCGTCAGATGAAATGTGCAACTGTTTTTAAATTAGCCTGCTAGTCAGTCAGATGAAATGTGCAACTGTTTTTAAATTAGCCTGCTAGTCAGTCAGATGCCATGTGCAAGTGCTTTTAAATTGGCCTGCTAGTCAGTCAGATGCAATGTGCAAGTGTTTTTAAATTGGCCTGCTAGTCAGTCAGATGCAATGTGCAAGTGCTTTTAAATGTTTTGTGTGCTGCGTCTAATGCACCTTTTGCATATATGTCATTTTTTTCTTTGTATTAATTCGAGTTTTCATTGACTCTCATGCTGCTGTGGAAATTAAGATGGTTCTCAGACGGCACTCAAG